GAAGGTGTCTTCTTTCTGACCTGCCTACTATCAGTCTGGTAGGGGAGGCCTCCAGGCAAAGCTGTTGAATTCCTTTCCCTCTGCTGTATTCCAGCTCTTCACCTCAAAACTGCGCTGTGAGAGACTGTCTCATACTTGCCTTACACAACCCTGTGCTTATTCCTTGGCATCCAAGGAGGAAGAAGGCCAAGCTGTTGTCTTCCAGCGTGTGGTAAAGCAGTTGAGGCAGAGGAGGCCGAAAGGACTTCCATAAACTGATGCCATTGGTTTTAGTAGACTGTTGATAGCTTACCTCAAAAGTTCACATAAAAATAGTCAAGAAGTCAAGGGAGGACCTACCTTTCTGTTAGAAAATACAGGGATTCTCTGAGCCTACCCTGTACAGTTAGCAAGAGCAAAATTAACCTTATTTTCTTCCATAAGTACATTTTCTTAAATTTTTTTTATTGGTGTGCAGGTAATTTTTAAGTTGCACAGAGATAGGTTTCAAATCCAATCTGTCTAGCAAACTATAATTTGACTAACTAGTACCCTCTTGATGCAGTTTCTCTTTTTTTGATTAGAAAAATACTTTCATTAAAATCAGCATTTACTAAGTAGAGGCTAAACAAATGTAACATTTAAATATGGCATTTCAAAACAATTATATAAATCTTCTTACTGTTTTTAGTCAAATTTGTGGTTATTTACTGTATAATTATAATGATAACCATGAAATTTAGTATAAATAAATTATTAGGAACTAATAAAGCTAAATAAACAAGCACTAATGTCGCTCACTTCCTTAATCAAGTAAACTGCCGTGGAAGTCGGCTGTCTCACCCCGGTTCATTGTATTCAGCAGAGCAATAACAAGTCTCTTCAGATAATGCCAAAGGATAATCAAAAAGCTTTTGTGTGGTTACTGCAGTATATGACAACCTGATGCCACTTTACGACCTAGAAGCATCTCTCATTTTAGCATTAAGATTTATATAAAAAATACTTCAGGAACTCTGTAACTCAAAACTATTTGATTCGCACTGGTGGCCTCTGCGGTCTTTGGTCTTCCAGGAAGGTCTGGATGATAAAGTGAGCACGGGCAACTGATTGCGCTAACGACTCAGCATTAGGTGTAGATTAATAACCCTTCATTTCTAGCCTTACCTTGCCTTGAACAAATCTGACTTTCCCTGCATCTTTCCATATATGAGCAAAGTAAATGCCAGGAGCCAGTATTTAATGTTGTTCTTGGATTACTGAGACCCTTTGAATTCTGGAACAGTAAAAAACAAATTAAGAGATTTATAGCTTCAGATGTTAAAGCCTGTAGGTGGATGTGTTCAGCAAAACAGATTATTTAATGATTTAATATTTTCGGATGACAGCAGTGTGTGCATAGCTTAACATAGTGAGCATGTTTCCTTTCTTTAGAAGGAAATCTTAGTTGAGGATATTAATGTAAGTAGTTTAAGAAAGTATTCGGTAAAGTGTTCTTGTAAGCTCTGTGAAAACTTAAACACAGATACCGAAAGAACAAAGGAGATTAAAACAAAAGAAATGGCAGTGCAAACCAGAACAAATCAAATGGTTTTAACTTAAGAACTTAAAAGCAGGTGTTGGAGTTGGCAAGATGAAAGAGATCCGAAAATTGTAGGTACAAAATGGCATGTTCTTGCGCATAGAACTGGGCATCTTGGTATAAGCTATAGAGAATGAGAAAGGAAAAATACGGTCAAGGATTGCTCTTGGCTTCTTTACAAAAAAGATTGCAAAAAAATTAAAATGGGAAGATGTGAGCAAGAAGTAACAAGATATAGAAGAAGGTATTAGGTGATTAAGAGAAGCAGTACTGCATTTGAAATGTTTTTTTGAATGGCAGCTTGAAATGAAATCTCGGAAGTACCTGCACATACTAGAGAATATATGCAGGGGGAAAATCACTTAATCCAAATAACCTTGCAAACAAGCTGCCTGATACAGTTACTACAGCATATTAACAAACAGCTTTCTATGTAAAGGCAGCTTTTATTTTTGACAAACTTATGATTTAAAATATTGGTTCTCTGGGGGGAGGAAAATAATGCTGTACTGGTAAAAGTACCTCTCTGGTAGTGGAGTTATAGTCTTTGTGCTGGCTCTGTAAGCTCTGTAATAATTACTTTCTCATCTTGGTTATTAATGTAGCTGTTTTGGTTTCGGAGATGAACAGTATGGAGAAGGAAATAAGAAAAGGATTGAAGGCAAAGCATTTCTTTGCCTTTACTGTAATGGAATTGCAAAGAACTGGTGTAATTGAAGACCCTTTTGATCAAATGGATCAAAAAATCATGACTCTTAGTTCTGAGACAGACTTGCTCTCAGGAAACTCGAGGTTATTATTTTTTTTTTTTTTAAAAAAAAAGGGGCTAGAGGACGAAATACTGCAGAGGGGTCTGGGGAGGCCCGTTTTTTTTTTTTTTATTTTTTTTCTTTTTTTTCCTTCTCTCCTTCTGTGAAAATGAGCAGTACTTCTGCAAGAAAGCTTCCTGGCTTCTTGAAAAAAAACAGAGGGTCTGTGAGTCTGAAATAGGTGGAAATTGGATAGATATTCTGGGTAAGTTCAGCCGGTTCCCTGGGAGCCTGGGCAGCCCAGGTTGCATTATAGCAGTAGGAGAACAGGGCAGAACAGGAGAGCAGGGCAGCGCCGCAGCGAGGGAGACCCGAGGGAAAATCAAGGTGCTGCTCACCCTGAATTGGTTTCCTTGGAGGGGTTGTGCCTTTTTTGGGACATGTGTATACGGGATAATTTGGCTACTTCAGCTTATCCTGGTTCTACCAGCAAAATAAGCTATACCCTCTTTTTTTTTGATGGTTTAAACGTTTTTACATTTGGGCGTCTGTTCATTTTGAAGGGAAATCAGATCTCATATTTCTGTGCTGGCATAAGTTTATCTTGGCTTAAGTTTATGAAAAATACATACAGTTGCATATTGTCCATTAAAAAAAAAAAGAAAGAAAATAAGAAAAGAAAAATGGCATATCTGATAGCATCAGATACTACAAATCTTACTTTTATAATGACTTATTTTTATAACAATTAAAAGAATCTCACAAGTGAAATGTCTGTGTATACATGTCTTAGATAATAATAAAAGTATTTAGGTAAGTGGCTTGTATATAAAAGGTAGCAACTGGTATCTTTTCTGGATTTTATGTTTTAATTTCCTAAAATAGTTTTTGAGGGACTTCTGTTTTTTTTTTTTTTTTTTTTTTTTTTTTTTTTTTTTTTTTTTTTTTTTTTTTTTTTTTGTATTTGTGAGTTTGTTTTGGTTTGTTTTCTTTCTCCAAGAGCTGCTAGGGTAAATGGTAGCTGTAAACCTAAGGGGTAGCCTGCAAACTCTTGTTTCCCAAAGCCTCCCTTTCATGTTTAGCCAAGTGAGAGACTCGAAATGAAATGTAAACTCTGGCTCAGCGTATCTCCAGGGCCTTCCCTCCTGGGGAACAGGCAGGGAAACAGAGCGAAGGCTGAAGCTGTTAACTGCAGTAGCCAGAAAAGTCCTGACTGTGAGGTTGTGGGGCAAACACCTTTGAGAAACTCAAGATATCAATTGGCAGCTTACTCTTCTAGTTAGTTTTGGGGGAGCAGCCTCCTACAAAATGATGCTTAAATGCTTGCTGGAGGATGTGCTCATGTGAGGCTTTGTGATAAGCTGTATGAATTCAGTACCCCTTTCTAGCAGTTAAATAATGATTTTTTTTTTTGACAACCCATGTGCCGTGCTAACATAATTTGCTGTGCTGACACTCCTCATCTGCCTTGGTTTTGTTTATTTGCTTGCTTTTTGCTAGGCAATTTTTTTTCTTTTCCACCTCTCTATTATGCACGTAGCTAATCCTAAGGCTTCCTCCATGCCAGGGCACAGAGAGCTGTCACCCTGGCACAACTGGGTGCATCCCCTGGAAGAGTCCCGTTACTCTTGTTACTAGATCCCCCTAATTGAGGACTGATGCCTCTTGCTTTCCTAGTCATCTTTTTACCTTGTTGAACATGCAGAAGTAAGAGATAGCACCTGCATTTTTTTTCATTGCTCTATTTAGGTTCCTGAATGTTCTGCTCAATCGGTTAGGATGCATTATATAGTCTTTTTTTTCTGTTCAGGTTCCTGGATAATCATTGCTGACAATGTGTGCCAGTGCAGTTAAGTGTGATATAAATAAACATATTGTTTGCCTCCATGTGAAGACCAACAGCTGTTGGGGACAATAGTATGACAGCTGCAAATATAATAGATTGAGTACCCATCCAGAATGCAGTAGGTGGAACTGTGTTTTGTCTGCATTCATATGTAAATCATATTTATCTGTATAAAGGTTATCCTTTGACATCTTGGTATTGACAGAGGACTCCTAAATATGATAATTTTGAAGGAATTATTTATCCATTCATGAAATAACCTGTTTTATAAAATTATACACAAAAATTAAGGATGTCCAAATAGATTATACTGTAAGACAGAATTTAAAGTGGTAAAAGTGTGAAATATATCATCAACCACTCCGTGTCCTCTGATTAATGGGACAGACTGTTTAATTGGCAATTCCTTCTGAGGATTTCCTTGCACTGTGCCTCTCTTCAGTTATTGCATGTGGAATTCCCATCTGTGATTTCCAGGCAGACTCAGGACAGGAAGGTGATCAGGAGTAGTCAGCATGGGTTCACCAAGGGGAAACCATGTTTTAACCAGCCTATCTGATAGCCTCCTAGGATGGAAGGACGGGCTGGGTAGGTGAGGGGAGAGCAGTGGATATTGTCTCGCTTGGCACTGTCTCCCGTACCATCCTCATAGGCAAGTTTGGGGAGTGTGGGCCAGATGGGGTGGGTCGAGACCTGGCAGAATGGCAGAGCTCAGAGGGTTGTGATCAGTGGGGCAGAGTCTGGTTGGAGGCCCCACAGCTAGTGGTGCCCCCCAACAGGGTCAATACTGGGTCCAGTCTTGTTCAATTCATCAATTCATCAGTGACCTGGACCCAGGGACGGCATGCAGCCGCTCAGTTTGCAGATGATACCAGACTGGGAGGAGCAGCTGATACACTTGGGCATTTGGAGGGCCCTTGGCAGACTGGTGAGGTGCATAGAGTGGAGCCCTATGAAGTTCAGCAAAGGCAGGGGGTTCCTGAGGGCTCCTGGTGGACCCCAAGCTGACCCTGTTGGCCAGCAAAGTGCCCTGGTGGCCAAGAAGGCACCTGGTGTCCTGGGGTGCCGTAGGGAGACCATTGCCAGCCGGTCAAGGGAGATGATCTTCCCCTCTGCTCAGACCTTGTGAAGCCGTGTCTGGCCTTCACAAGGCTTCTTCTGGCTGAAGTGTGTCCTGTGCTGGGCACTGCAGTACAAGGCAGACAAGGCTGTAGTAGAGGGAGCCCAACAAAAGATCGTAAAGAAGATTTGAGGGTCTTGAGCATCGGATGCACAAGGAAAGGCTAAGACAACTAGCCCTGTTTATCGTTTTCAGACCTAGAGAAATCAACTGAAGCCCAAGAATATATATCTTGAACTGAATTTTTCTTTATTTTTTTCAGTAACCCTTTTTAGCTGTGTTTCAGAAAAAAATGCATTAATAAAGAGATTGTTCCATGATCAAGTAATTTATCTTTAATAAAGTGGGATTTGTTTTTTCAAGCTGGTAAACACCTCCATTATGTCTTCATTCTTCGCAACCAGTGTGTGTGAAATAGATAAGGTGAAAAAATGAATAAGCCAGTCAGACAAGCAGAAAACATGCCTTATATGCTTTACAGCAAATGTGTTATCATAGTACTGTGTTTTTCTTTGCAGCATTGTTCTGTTAGATCTCTGGTCAGGATACTTTCCAGTAATTACCTTTGAATTGTTTAACAGATAAACCTAATGAATTTGGACATGAGGGGCAAAACATTACCATTTTATTTTGCCTCTTCTTTTGTCGAGTAGTAACTCAGAGTTGCTGAAAATCATCATGAAATGTAACGAAAAGGGTGCTAAGGTTATACAGTTATCCAGCTTTTCCTGTGTATTTGGGTAAAATCACTAGACTAAAATAGTTTTATTGTGGCGATTTTTACTTTTTAATTTTAAGCATTTATTTTCATTCATAGTCTCCCAAAAATGCTTTAGATATCCTACTTAACAATACATATCTAATTCTAGTGATTTATTTTTCTTCTTTAGGGTGTACCTCAGTTACCATGTGCCAAAGCGTTGTATAACTACGAGGGAAAAGAACCTGGAGATCTTAAATTCAGTAAAGGAGACGTCATCATTTTACGTCGACAGGTGGATGAAAATTGGTATCATGGAGAAGTCAATGGCATTCACGGCTTTTTTCCTACCAACTTTGTTCAGATTATTAAACCTTTACCTCAGCCTCCGCCTCAGTGCAAAGCACTTTATGACTTTGAAGTAAAAGACAAGGAAGCAGATAAAGACTGTTTACCATTTTCAAAGGTAAAAACAAAGTAAAGTTTAATTGTTATTCATTGGCTTGGCTAAGAATTGGTATGGCTAATGTTCAAGTCTTGTTTGCATATTTTTTTTAATGGATATGCCAAAATTTGAAAAAACAAGGGCAAGTAATTCTATAGGTATTTCTCCTGTATACATTAGTCTTGCCTTTCTTCTGCTTCTAAATTGTATATACTTTCTCTGAAGTTTTTTTTTTTTGAGAATGCAATTTTTCATAATTATACTATTAAATGTTCTCAATTTATGAGAAATAAACTGTTACAAATTAAATGTACTCCCTCTTATAGAGAAATAGTGATTTTTTTATTTGTTGAAATACCTATAAATTTTCAGTTTTGCTTTTCGTAAGTGATGTTATAGGATCTAGTTAATAAATACGAAGTACTACTGAACTCTGTAATTTTACTCATTGCGTTTTGGGATACACTAAATTTTTTTCTGACTTCATTTCTGTTGTAACTTTTTCTCTTGCAAAGCACAAAATGAAATCAAGTAAAACTGAAAACACAAATAAAATCAGAGCTTTTATTTTCAAAAACTTACCAAATACATTTTTGATAACTTACTAGATTTCCCAAATACTGCAGGATGAAATGTAAACTAATCACGTTTTTGTTCTGCCTTCAGCTATTTAAATGGAAAGGGTGGCTAAATAGCATAAAAGCAAAAGGCTTTAACTTTTCATGAAATTTGTGCAAATGCATATAGACACTTTTTTATTACTTAAACACTTTCAAGAATTGCTGGTATTAGTTTGTGAATTTTGATTAAATTGTTGGCAACTATGTCTTTAATGGGTATATGCAGTCTGCAGTCTTTAATGGGTATATGTTTCTATATTCTTCAATATGAAATGATTGTGTATTTCAGAATAGAGAGAGCAATGTTTAATATTCCATTAAAACCTTTTTATGTAATGTTCTCAAAACCATATTTTAAAAAGCTCAGTACATCTGAAAAGTCTTATCAGTTACTAGAATTCTTATACAAGTGGGAAAACAGCTGCTAGGAAGGTTAAGTGATGAGTAAGTGGGCATCTAAAACCGTTGAGATTCTGTTGCTCAATGCTAGGGTTAAGAGGAGTCTGATCGGAGACAACAGAATGAAGTAGTGGGAAGTCAACCCACTGTGGTCAAACTCAAATGACTGAGGTGAGTTGTGGATAGTTCGTCAAAATTCAGCAAAATGGGAAACAAAACAGTTGGAGCCGCTTCAGTTGCAAAAGCTGCATGTTTGTGTTACGAAATGCCTTCTGTACCAGTTTTTTTCCACGTATTGTCTTCACTGGTTGCCTGCATGCTATGGAAGGGAATTAAATTAAAAGTTTAATTGCAGCTAGGAGATATAATCCCTGCATGTTCTCGCAGGACGATGTTCTGACTGTAATTCGCCGAGTGGATGAAAACTGGGCGGAAGGAATGCTGGCTGACAAGATAGGGATATTTCCCATCTCATATGTTGAGGTGAGTAAAGTTGGGCCCTGGGTAAGGTTGTGTCCACCAAGTATTTCATTCTGTAGAAAGAAAGTGCTGCAAACTATGTATTGCACTTCTAGAACAATTAGTACTGATACACATTCTACAATAGCCTGAGACGGACTTTTTCCGGTCTTAGGTTATTTATATGTGCTTAATTTGGGAATGTTCGTGACCTCAGCTGTTCAACCTTGGATTTTTGCTTACCCTTTTGATACCTATTTTCATTGTTTGGAAACAAAATGGAAGTACTTGGAAGCAGTCAATGTGTTTTCTTGTTAATACTTTGGGTCATCCACTCAATCACAAATGACACTTGCCCGCAAAATAAAAGCAGCCACTGAGAAAAATAGTAAGCTTTGCACTGTACTAATCTCTACCTCTCAAAAACAAAGCAGCACTACTAGGAAGTCAGAAAATATAGGATGTTGCTAAGCAAGTAAGGCAGTGAACTGCATCCAACAGACCCTTAGGTAAAATCCTGTCTCTTCCTGCATTGGAAATACATGTCAATGACAGTTTAGACAGTCCTTGAGAAATAGCTTCTCCAGCCTTTAAGTGTTTCATAGATGAAAGCCACTATTTTGTCCTCTACATAGAAATTAATAGGTGATTAAGAAAAGTGTGTGCAGCTGCACTAATAATTATTGTCATTTGCGTTACGGAGGGGAATAGAGGCCTGCAATAGTGTTGGCCTTTTTCTGAAAGGTACAGTACAGGTGCATGGTAGTATGCGCTTCTGGCACTGAAGAGATTTTGTTTAAATAAAGGAGGCAGAAGGATGAAAGAAAAGAAATAATTCCATGTTACAAGATGGATGAGAAATAAGTATTTCAGAGCACAGAAGAAAGGTGTGACCATGACAAGAATTGAGCCAAGTTATATTAATTCATTGTCTAAATGTGAAATTTTCTTGCCCCAGATAAATATGACATGATAAAAAAAAAAAACTCAATGAAGTTCTGGCTTTGATTTAAGAACTCTTTAAAATCCAATTTAAGAAGTTCTTATCCCCGGCAGTTCATTCCCAACTCCTTGCAGTTAACTGTCCCTTTAGTTCAGTCAGTACAGCTGTTTGTAGTGCTTTTTTTAAACCAATCACTCAACTTACCCAGGTTAGAGAAAGCTTTTTCCTGGGACTTGCCATTTGGTCAAGATATTTAATGAGCAACCCAATTTCTGTTTCTATAAAAGCTTGCAAAATGGAGACTTCTTTTTGGAAACAATTAGTGTTTTTTACAAGTAGTGTATTTTACTCATTCACAGACTCATATTTCACTCATATTTCAACATTGAAGTGAAGGAAATAATGGTTTTGTGAAAAAATGTGAATATTTTTTCTGTTTCTATTACTTGCAACTAAATTACAGTAAAAAGAAACTTAATAGGATTCCATGTTTCTTTTCTGTAGAGGAAGATTTTATTTGCACTTAATACAACATTGCTGCAACAAATAGAAAAAGTTCTTTATGAACCAATATACTTTAGGTAAGCTTAAAGAAAAAAAAATTCATTTTAGGATCTTATGCTCTACAGTGTAGAAGTTACACTGCATTCTTAGGACTAGAAGAAAAATGAAATTAGTGTTCTATTCAGTTGATTTTTATAAATAATACAAAATACTAATTTTAATATATATTTTTTTGCAGTTTAACACAGCAGCCAAGCAGCTGATAGAGTTGGATAAGCCCTCGGGCTCTGCTGTAGACTCTGGAGAAGGTACCTCTGGGGCAGCCCATAACAACTCAACCCAAAAGCACACTGATACCAAGAAAAACACCAAAAAACGGCACTCTTTTACCTCCCTCACGATGTCCAACAAGTCTTCGCAGTCTTCTCAGAACCGCCATTCGATGGAAATCAGTCCTCCTGTTCTCATTAGCTCCAGTAACCCAACTGCAGCCGCCCGCATAAGTGAGCTGACAGGACTTTCCTGCAGTGCCCCTTCTCAGGTAATTTACCAGAAAATAAGTATCAATTATACATGTTTTAAAATACAGGTTTCTGATTTTGTTAGGGGCCTAACAAATCTGATCAAATTGACTTTTTCTTTTTTTGGCAGGTTCATATTGGTACCACAGGACTGATTGTGACTCCACCTCCTAGCAGCCCAGTTACAACAGGGCCTTCATTTACTTTCCCTTCAGAAGTTACCTACCAAGCAGCTCTTGGTGTAAGTAGCATGAAAGCAATGCACTTGTGAATTGTTGGGTTCATTAAGACTATAAGTGTGTTATATATGTGATACAAGAGCATGTGTTGAACTATAGCAAAAGCATTACTGGGAAAATAATAAATACCTTGGGTACTGTGATGTGTATCCATTTCCCTAGCTATTCTCTATCCTTTTTACGTAGAACACATAAGAAGCATGTTTTCTTCAAGAACAGTATTTTTTTTCAGTGTGAGCTGGAGATTAACCTGGGGAGGACTGGAGGGAAACAAGCAGGATCTTGCAAAAAATAACTTGAGACCTCAGTTGCTAGATATTTTTGTCTTCCTGAACTCAATACTAGGAGAATTCTCTGAAATAAGTTTACGGAATCCACGTTTTACTTCTAATTAAATACTTCATGTTTACACCATGTGTACACCTGGGTGGCAGATACAGAAAATACCTAGCATGTCTAGGTTGGATCTTGGAGATAAAAATGAAAGCAACGTTGTGAATGGCCATCTTTTGAAGGAAGGAACATATTGCAGTGTATAAATAAAATGTTTTATTTTGTTATGATTGTGGTGCACCAGCTCTGGAATAGCCTCTATCCTAATGCAATTACCAGAGACTTACTTCAGCTGCGATGGAGTGTGTGGACACCAGTATTCATAAACCTTGAGGGAACTTCATGAACCTTATCTAAATTTAATTCTAGTTTCAAGTACAAAATAAGTGTTTTGAATCAGAGACTATCTTTTGCCCTTTTGATAGGCTGCTTTGTGTAGTAAAAATTAAAACTCTCAGGGTTTTTTTTTAGGTGTCTTATTATTCTTATAGTTGTTTTAAAGCAACTAAAATGCAGTGCATATCCTTGCTGCTGAAGTTGTTTGATTTTGTTTTCAGCTTCCATCCTTGGATTGTTTTACATCTTCGTCTACACAATTGAAGAGTCTTCTGTTACCAGCTTTTTGTTCTTTAAATTTTGTCTGGATTGGTGGCATCTAACAGCTTCCTTCTTTGTTTTTATCCTTTTTTTTTTGAACTCTTAAAATATTATTTTCAGTCATCTAAATTAGGCTTTTATTTTCTGAATCATCTTCAGTGTTTCATTGTCTGTCTTAAAACTCATTCCAGAACTGGTTACAGTACTGCACAGTCATTCTCAGTGGTGGAAATATTGATAGCCCAGTCCTTCATCCTAGTCTGATGGATATAGTCCTTCAACTTTTTTCCTGCTAGTCTGATGGATATCTTGAGAAGTG